GCTCTGTGTGTGTGTGTGTGTGTGTGTGTGTGTGTGTGTGTGTGTGTAACCCTTCTGGTTGCTTGGGTATAAATACAGAGACGACTGTTAGTTGGATTCCTGAAAGTTGGAAATTTAACCATGTAGGTGCTATGGAATAGCAGGTAAGGTGGCTCTGGGTTTTTGCAAGAGTGGCATCTGTTTGATAAAAAGGGAAATAAAAGTAGGAGATAGCTGAAGAATGGTGAGGACGTAGAGGAATCAAGAGACTGAAGGTTCCCATGAAGTCAGACAACAATTACGATGGGGATGATGAGCAAGTTCAGTCAGAAGGAATAATAGGTCAGAGTGGGATGTTTGAATTAGAGGTTTATGAGCTGGTGGTGTTTCTATGATGAAAAAGTCCGGTGTATAACAGAGAGTCCCAGTGGAAACTGAGGAATTGGTTGCTGAGGTGTAGGGGAAAGTATTGACTGGGTTTTCTGTGCTTATTTTAAAGGGACCCAAAATAATGGTGGGAGTGTGCATAGAGTGGAAGTCTTATGAGTCAGGTGTTGAATCCTGGATTCTGAAATTTCTGAGCATGTAGTAGATAATCTCATAGAGGATCAACGAACAGGGGAAAAAATACTATAGCCTAATCGGTGAAGCTCAAAGGAGGAGGGACTTTTCTTGAGGGAGGAGGACAGGGAACAGTCTGGAGGTGGAATAGAACAAATAATTACACAACCCAAAATTACATCAAGTGTGAGAGAATATAAACCATTTCCATTAAGAGGAAGTGTTCTCCTGAGGGACCACCCAGTTTGCATTTGACTCTGATTTTTAATCTGGAGACATCATAGAATCACCTGGGGAGTATTTTAAAAACTCCCAGTCCCTGAACTTCACCTCCAGAGGTCCTGTTTTGATTGTCCTAGATGGGACCCAGGTGTCAGAAGTTTTTAAGTGTCTTTGGTCATTTTAGTGCCTGCATAGTAGAGAACTACTAAAAAAATCTATGCCATATCACCCAATCTCATTTGATCTCGGAAGCTAAGCAGGGTTGGGCCTGGTTAGTACTTGGATGGGAGAACTACTGAAAAGTGTAGGGACTATTCAGATGAAATTGATGATACAAGAATATTAAAGATCACAGAGGTCCAGAGCAGGGGGTCCTCAAATTTTTTAAATAGGGGGCCAGTTCACTGTCTCTCAGACCATTAGAGAGCCGGACTGGGGGCCCTGGATGAGTTGGCTGCTAAGCAGGACAAGCAGAGGCAGCAAAAACACTAGGCAGGCCTCATGTGGCCTGTGTAGTTTGAGGACACCTGGCCCAGAGGGTTTTAGAACGGAGAAGAATAGTAGATGGGTTGTGTCATGTGACAATTCATTCTCTTTTTCCAAGCAGCATAATGAGAGAACATCCAGTTATTTTGTAAGCAATTTCTGGAATCTTCTAGGTGTTAAATAGGTCAGTTACATACATATTTGCTAAAATATATCTTTAAGGAATTGTTGGGGGGGGGAGAATATATGTTGCTCTAAATTTCTGTCAGGAGCTGCTCTTTTTTAAAACTACTTTTAATATGAGAAAGGGAGGATTTGTTAGGCCCTAAAGATATTTTCCCTGTATCTTCATTCTCCCTCTTTACAATTGCACCCACTCTCGTTACTTTTATCTCTGGTCCACTTGGGTGCTTTCTTTCACATTTTTCTCCATCTTTATCTCTTTTTCTAAGTAATAACTGTTTTCTTTTATTAACTCATACCACAAAGAAAGAAACAATAGGAAATGCAAAGGACAAAAAGAGAACCAAAAGTTAAGAAGTAGATTTCCACCATAAAAAAAAAAAAACTGGATTTTCATTTCATTTTCTTAGTTCATTGTTACAAGTGTGAAAGAGTCTAGTTCAACATTTTTTTTTCCAAGATCGAGTTTTACTTTGTCGCCCTCGGTAGAGTGCTGTGGCATCACAGCTCACAGCAGCCTCCAACTCCTGGGCTTAGGCGATTCTCTGGCCTCAGCCTCCTGAGTAGCTGGGACTACATGTGCCTGCCACAACTCCTGGATATTTTTTGTTGCAGTTTGGCCAGGGCCGGGCTTGAACTTGCCACTCTCAGTATATGGGACCAGTGCCCTACCCACTGAGCCACAGGCACCACCAGTTCAACATTTATTAAATTCCTTCTATCTATGAACAGACATCTAACATCATTATCACAAGTAGAGTGACCAACCAGCCCAGCTCTCCTTGGACTTTCTCAGCCTTAGCATTGAAGATCCTGAGTCCTAGGAGCTTCCCAGTACTAGACTACCCCCAGAACAGTTGATTACTTTAGACCATGGAAACTGATGGGTTAGAATAAGAATATAAACAAGTACGTAGGCTTGGATCTGTTTGGGTTACTATATCCAAACAGTTGATACAGATGGTAACTATAGGGCATCAGAAAAGGGGAGACAGTATATTATACACTTAAGAAATTAAAGTCCTAGATAACTTCATTTCTAATTCTGCTGTTTTCTGGTTGGCTATACTTTAGCCAAATGGCTCTTGGACCTAGGTCATTATATTGCTTTTGTAAATTCTTTCAAGACATACATTTTTTACTTGAGGTAATGAAATACTTTGAATCAACCTCATGCTTCTTTTCTTTTTTTTAAAATTAGTTTGTAATTTAATCTGTGCCTATGAATAGATGATCCTACTTCCTTTATTCTCTTCACACTTAAGATACTCTTACTATATTATCTGATTTGAAATATCAGGACTTTTCAGCTAAGGGATGAGAGGAGGGTGATTGAGGAATTTAACTTCTTCTAGAACTTGAAGGTCCCTGTAGTAATATCTGAGAGAGAGATCAGAACATAAGAAGCTATGATTTTTGTATGTTTCATACCCCTACATTGGGCTGCCCATTGACAGAGTTCATCAGCCCTAGGAGTACTCACTTCCATTAGGGTTCCCTCTCTGCATCATCCCCTCCACCGAGTCTTTGGTCTTATACATGTGCTTCCTACATTAGAAGTCTGGAATATTTGCGATCTGGACCTTCTCCTATTAACCTGATAAGTTAAGAATATCATCCCAATAAAATATTATATCCCATAGCTGTATATATATGGATTTCATTTCTTTCTAGGTGGCTGCAAAATTCGGGTTCAGGGGGACTGGACCAGAGAGCGCCTCTTTGAAATCCCTGATGAGGAACACTGTTTGAAGTTCCTCTCAGAGGTCCTTGCTGCTCAAGAAGGTAACTCAGACTCTTCTTTCTACTATTTCAATGGGAGTGAAGTTCTGACATGCTGATACAGAGGAAAGTGGCCATTAGCAAAGTATCTCACCCTTTGAGTTCTGATAGTTGATTTTTTTTTCTTCAGGAATCAACAACAGGGAGAGGTTAAGGAACCAATCTACACAGATTTAAGGACACTGAGACAATTTCCAGAGTTTTTAGTGTCATGTCAAGCAAAACTTACAGCAGACTGTACTTCTCCTATTCCCAGATAACCTCAGAGCTGCACTCATTTCCTTAGTCTCTTCCACTGCATTAAAAAATGGTGCTGGCTTCTGCATTTAAGCAATGTTGAAAGAATGGCTTTTGGTTATGGCAAATTCCACTCAAGTAAGGGCTCCCCAGTTTCTGACCATGACCCTTGTCTCTCCAGCTCAGTCACAACTTCTTGTTCCAGAGCAAAAGGACTCATCCAGCTGGTACCAGAAATTAGACACTAAGGAGAAACCTTCTGTTTTTTCAGGTACTGAAAGGTTGCTGGTTCCCTGGTTGCTATGATCATTGCAGAGTCAGTAGATTTTGTCAGACCAGATGGAATGATGTGGATTAAAGTCAATGTCAGGCACATTTTCCTGTGGAGTGGTTTTATCAAGTCCATGCCCACTGACCCATGTTCACTCCTAATCCTTTCTGTGGCGTGGTGGCTCTTCAGGAGCCAGTTTATCAGCCTATAAAAACTACAGGCTTCAGAGCCAGACAGTCTGGGTTTGAATCCTAAATCTAGGACTTAACTACTTATATGACCTTTGTCGAGTTACTCAACAACCCTTATCTTCCATTTTCTGTAACGTGGGAAGAATTTTAATAGTATCTACTTTTGAGGTTTTTTTGTGATGATGAAGTAAAATAACGATATAATTCAATAAATGTTAGCTATTATTATTCAGGCTGCAGATTATTATAAACTCGTGTTTTTCTAGTCTGTCAATGCTTCAGGGATGGATGTGCTTCTTCAATCCAAATCTAAGTAATTCCTACCCTTATGGCACCGTTCTGTTTAGTAACATCACTGATCAAATTGTGATCAAATCAAAGCCCTGTCTACCCTGGCTATTTTTGGATGTTAGCTAATTTTCTCCCTTTGACTTTGGGTTCTTTGTCTTTCAGGTCTTCTTGGGTTTGAAGACGATTTTTCATCTATGAATTTGGATAAGAAAATAAATTCACAAAATCAGTCTATAGGGAGTCATCGGGAACCCCCACCCCCACCCCCTTTAGTGAATAGGATGTAAGTCCTATGTGAAAACATTTCCTTTCTGTAGGAGAATTATATTTTGAGCAGTTTTGCCTAAACCTAAAACTCTTGGGCTCAAGCGATTCTCTTGCCTCAGCCTCCTGAGTAGCTGAGACTACAAGCATCCATCACAACACCCGCCTATTGATTTTTTAGAGACAGGGTCTCGCTCTTGCTCAGGCTGGTCTTGAAGTCCTGAGCTCAAGTAATCTACCCCCTCGGTCTCCCAGAGTGCTAGGATTACAGGTGTGACCCACTATGCCTGTCCTGGCAGTTTTGTTTTTGAATTTCTCATTTATTTGCCAGGCATCCACGTGAAAAAGAAGCTTCTAACAAGGAACAGCCCAAAGTGACCAATACCATGCGGAAGCTCTTTGTACCACATACCCAGTCTGGGCAGCGGGAGGGTCTCATCAAACATATCCTGGCAAAACGAGAGAAAGAATATGTGAACATTCAGACTTTCAGGTTAGTCTGTCTTCTACTTAACTGAGACTAAAAGGTTAATAGGTATAGCATACAAAGGGCTTTTGATACTTAAGATAAAGATATTAGCTTAATTATGACTCAAAGTATGATAGAAAGGAATAGTTATCTGATTCAAGCCCCTGTCTCTAATACTGGTCAATAACATGCATATCTGAAATAAGTAGATGTTATCATTTCCCTTGAATTTTCTAATTACTAATAATAACATGTCTACTAATATTTCTATCCAGTCTTGTTTGTTTGTTTGTTTTTGAGACAGTCTCACTTTGTCACCCTTAGTAGAGTGCCATGGCATCATTGCTTACAGCAACCTCAACCTCTTGGGCTCAAGGGATCCTCTTGCCTTAGCCTCCCAGGTAGCTGGGACGTTAGGCACCTGCCATAATACCCAGCTAATTTTTAGAGACAAGGTCTTGCTCTTGCTCAGGCTGGTCTCGAACTCCCAAGCTCATGCGATCCACCCACTTTGGCCTCTTAGACTGCTGGGATTACAGGAGTGAGCCACCACACCTGGCTTTATCCAGTCTTAAAGAACCAGATTAAGCTCACCTGTACTAGAAACTTGTCCCCTAGCACATTCCATAAGCAAGTGTGTTTATCTGGACTACTGAGCTCTTTTCAGCCAATATCAGAAAACTAAAATCCAGCATTACTACTACCTCTCAACTTACTTACTTTTTTAAGTTAACTAAAGAAAGTTTCACTCAATCCTTTTCATTGAGAAATATGTCTTAGATTCATTCCTCTGTATTATTTTTATTTCACCTTTACTTATTGACATCCTCTTTTCTGGACCTGTGCAGAATGTAATGCGGCATGGCATGCACAAGTATCTCTAATGTATGAAGCAACAATACTTTTCTTTGTTATTCATGACTAGAATGTACCCTTCTAGAGTCCAGTATTCCAGTCCCATCTGCTATCCTGTCATGCCTCATTTATTATTCAATCATAGCTATCGCTGTATACTAAAACCTCCATTTCCTCATATTCCTCATGATATTTATATTTGTATGTAAACTGTTAAGACCAGTGGTTCTCAACCTTCCTAGTGCCGTGACCCTTTAATACAGTTCCTGTGGGTTGTGACCCATAGGTTGAGAACTGCTAGTTAAGAGTTTTCCTCCTTAATAGTGTATTTGCCTCATCGGAATTTCCTACATGTATGTCCTTATAATCCTTTGGGAAGTGAGTTTTTTGATTCAACCACAGCCCCTTACAGAACATTTATCCCTATTGACTAGCTTACAGTATGAAGATACCTCTTTCCCATTCATAAGCTCTCCTTTCAAGTATGAGTTTGGATGGAATTTAACTGAAAGGAAATATGGTAGAGCAATTAACTTTGCATTTTTTAAAATAGAGACTACATTTCTTTCTGCAGTTTCACTTAACATAAAATTTAGAGCAAATAAGCCTACTGCTTTTGTGTTCTAGAATCTAGATGCGAGAGGTTTTTCTTATGTGTGTGGCAAAACGTTTTGAGGAATTTTGTTAGCATATTTTGAATATACCCTTATGTAGAAGTGACAAGAGAAGCCTTCTTTTGGTTCTTACTTGATTTTTGTTTTCAAATTATTTTTTGGTATTATGTATTAGATTTTTTATTGGAACTTGGAACGTGAATGGCCAATCTCCAGATAGCGGGTTAGAACCTTGGCTGAACTGTGATCCGAATCCTCCAGATATCTACTGCATTGGGTAAGGACACTTACAGAATTTCCTTTTGGCTGTATGTTTGGTATTAATGTATTTGGTCAAAACTTACTGTAGATTACATGTGAGAGTTAACTTGTGGATCAGATTTGTGAGATCAGAAAGGAAGAGATGCCTAAAATGGTTTACGGAAGCATCTAATTTTCTTGAAACCCATAGAAAACTGTATTCTACATTCCTTGAAACTAAGAGTCAAGGTCAATTCTAACAGTGACAGTTCCTAAGCTCTCCTGTTATCCTTTGTGGGAGGTTTTTTGGTTTAGTTTTTGCCTAGCCTGTGAATATGATATTGGGCATTCTTTAGAAAAGAAAATTCCTTGTGCTTATCAATAACCTGGGTGAACAGAGCAGTTCTATAAAATCTCTTTTTCTTCTATTATTTTCCTCATCTAATGTCTTAGCAAATAGGATAGGAGGTAGCCAAAGATATAATAATTATGGAATATGTGTAGATCTCACATCCTTTTTTCCCTTAGATTCCAAGAGCTAGACTTGAGCACAGAAGCCTTTTTCTACTTTGAATCTGTGAAGGAACAAGAGTGGTCTATGGCTGTGGAGAGAGGCTTACATTCCAAAGCCAAGTATAAGAAAGTAAGCTGTATTTAACTGTCTTTTAAAGTATATGACTAAATAGGACTCATTAGGAGTTATTCCTTTATCTGTAACTTATTCCAAAAGGGTGATTTAACTGAATTCTTCCCTGTGTAATACAGGGACAGGGCAGACTAATCCCTCATCCTTATTGCCTAAAAAAAGATTGCCCTAAGCTTTCTGATCCTATATTTTCATTTCTTAGGTAGCTTTTAGAAGAAAAAAAGAATTTTATTATTCTCATATCAATAATTAGCTCAAAATAATTACATATGAGGCAGCTGTGCTATAAAAATTTAAGATTAAAATTGTTCATAGATGTGGTCAGAATTTAATGCTTTACAGAAAAATAGTATGAATCATTTGGATGCATAGGATATGGTTTGGAATCAGAGCAAGAATAGAAGTGTGTAGAATTTAAATGAGTTCTAAACTTGATTGTAAGTCAAGAGCAGAGTTGCCTTTAGCAAGGTGGGCCAATTTGTTTGTCTTTAGGAAGCATGTGGTAGAAGCGTTTAGCTATCAGAAGAGTTATTTTAATTACAGCTCTCAGTGTAAGCTCTCTAAAAGAGTAATCTGACTAATTTTTCTCTACATCTTCTAATAGTTTATGTAGGTAATAAAACTCCTGATGATATTATTTCTTTCATAAAGGTCCTTGACTAATACAGATCTCAAACATTTCGAACTGTAATTCATAGGCTAAAAACAATTAAAGTAAAAAGGATTGCTGTTTTGTAGGATTTAAATTTCTTAGAAAATTATAAATAAGAAAATGGAAAGGAGAGGAGGAAGGAACAAGTGGAGGAATAACAGCTTTATCTTTATTTTTTAAACTGTTTACTCCTGGTAAGCAAAAAAGATATTAAGAGAATGAATCTAGAGCTGAGTGTATTCATTGTCCCTCAAGTTTTTTAACTCCTGTTGGTCAAAACCAGATTAGAGCTTCCCCAGAGAATTTTATTTTCCATTCTGTGGGCTCCAGTGGGAAATTTGGATTCAGATTTGGGCATCGGTATGTCATCTTGATGGAAAATTAATTGTAGGAAGTTCAACATGTGACAAAGAGTGGTATTGACATTAACCTTTTATACGTCCCTGAAATTGAAAGGTTCAACTAGTCCGTCTTGTTGGGATGATGCTCCTTATATTTGCCAGAAAGGATCAGTATCGATATATTCGTGATGTTGCTACAGAGACGGTTGGAACTGGAGTCATGGGGAAAATGGCAAGTTACTTTGGAAATGAATTTGACTATTATTTATGTCCGTGTAAAGTTCAATTCTAGTTGTATGTACTAACTGTGAATAATTATTCTTGCTAACAGGGAAACAAAGGTGGGGTAGCTGTGAGGTTTCTATTTCACAATACTACCTTTTGCATTGTCAATTCCCACCTGGCTGCCCATGTGGAGGACTTTGAGAGAAGGAATCAAGATTATAAGGACATCTGTGCGAGAATGAGTTTTGTGGTCCCAAATCAGACCCTCCCACAACTGAACATCATGAAACATGAGTGAGTGGTTAACTCTCTTGCAGGCTTTGAGTAGTGGCTACAAGAGAGCTTGAATAGTGAAGAGATTGAATACTTTGAGAAACTGTAGAACTGCGAAGAGTGAGAGATTATCAGGTAGGGATCAGAGTTGTAAAGAAGAGAGGGTTTTTGAGGGATAGCAGACTCTTTGAGGCAGAGAAATTAGATTTGACATCAGAGTAAGGGTTAGTTTTATTAGTGGAGCATCTAGAAAAATGCTGCAGAGGTCCATCACTTAGAGTTGTTTTTTGTTTTTTTTTTTTAGTATATAATGGAATTGTTCATTGAAAATGTAATAAAAGGTAAAAGTAAAATTCCCTCATTTCTTATCCTCTACTCTTTCCAGCCAGTCTTTCTTTTCAAAAGAAACATTCTTAACCGTAGGTTGTGTGTTCTTTTAGATCTGCACTATCCAGTATGACAACCAGTAGCCATATGTAGCTATTGGGCACTTATAAGGGGCTAGTCCAAATTTAGATATGCTATGTTTGCAAACTACATTTTGAATTTCAAAGACTTAATAGGGAAAAATGTTAAATATCTTGATCTTAAAAATATTGATTGCATATTGAAATGATAATTTGGACATACTAGTTAAGATGAAATTTATTGTTAGTTATTTTTCATTTGTTTTTACTTTCAGCTACTAGAAAATTTCAAATTATATTGTGATGTTCATTATAATTCTATTGAACAGTGTTGTTCTAGACTTTCCTCTGTGCACATACAAACACACACATGCTTTTTTTAAAAATAAGACACTGTCTTATATTTTATTTTTTCCTCAAGAAGACACACTAGGGCTTCTTCTTCTTATTATTATTATTTTTACAGTTTTTGCCTGGGGCTGGGTTTGAACCCACTACCTCCAGCATATAGGGCGAGCACTTTACTCCTTTGAGCCACAGGCGCCGCCCCACACATGCTTTTTGTATAGGACTCCATTATCCTATTTATTGTGGATCTCTTTCTAAGCCACTATATATAGACCTGGATTTTTTTTTTTTTTGAGGCAGAGTCTCACTTTGTCACCCTTGGTAGCGTGCCATGGCTTCGTAGCAACCACTAACTCTTGGGCTCAAGTGATCCTCTGGCCTCAGTTTTTCATTTTTAGCAGAGATGGGGTCTCGCTCTTGCTCAGGCTGGTCTCAAAACTCCTGAGCTCAAGCAATCTACCTCCCTTGGCCTCCCAGAGTGCTAAGATTATAGGCATGAACCACCTCACCCAGCCTTGCATTATTCTTTTTAATGGCTGTGCTTATTACAAACTGAGGGAACAGAGAGAGGTCAGTGAAGAATGGGGGTTAAGAAGGATAGAAACATAAATCTATTGAAGATAGATTAATTGGTGGTAGAAAATGAGTAGTTGTAAAGAAATTAATATTAATCATGGAAATCCTGAAAAGGCAATTGGGAATAAGTGGTTTGATGGGAATTAGTAGGAAAGCAAAAGATAATTTAGGGATATTCTCTCAATACAGGGTAGGGTAACTGAGGAAAGAATAGGGAAGGGTAGTGATACTGAACTATTTCCATGTCGTAAGGATAAGGAATATGTACAATTCTGTTTCACAGTGGTAAAGTCAAGGTCACGAAGTTGCTCTGTAATTCCATAAATCTATTTCCCTAGGATACCATAAATTTCATGTTGCATTTTGGGAATGGCAAAGTGACCCATTAGGAACTTCAGATAGCTGAAAGGAGAATCCATTTTGATGTGGTAATTCCAGAGTCTCCCTTTGTGGGGCTCTCAGCATATTTAGGGGCCTGTTGCTATGAATGAGAGCTGAGGCATGCCAGTTTCTTCCTGCCTAGAACTTGGACTGTAGATCTTGGGCAAGGATAGACAAACTGGCTACACTGAAAAGCCCTGAACCTACTTTTCCTGGTGGGCCCTGCCTGTGAGAGTTGTCATGCAGAACATGCAGACCTTAGCAGAGTCTGCAGAACCTCTGGGCTCTGAGAAGCAGAAAACATTCAGATTCTCTTCCCCTAGAGACCTGGAAAGCAGCCAGGCAAAATTTTGAAACTGTCCAGCAAATAAACTGCATGCTTCTCAGTCAATTAACTCCTTGGCTTCTGAATCACATATGTGTATTGTATTCCCTGTTTCATTCTTCATGTATTGAGTGTCTGTTTTCCCATTTGTTTTAGAATCCATTTTTTCTCTCATGTGCTGATAGAACTTGCCCCCAAAAGAATAGTTATAGCTTTAAAACATTTGTCAGATAGTGGTGAATGAACCCTTATCAATAATTTACCTATTTTTCTCTCTATCCTTTTCTAACTGTTTTATGCTAATTAATGCTGCTTCTGTTCATGTATTTCTTTTTTTTTTTTTGTTCATGTATTTCTTGATCCTCAGCGTTGTCATTTGGTTGGGAGATTTGAATTACAGACTTTGCATGCCTGATGCCAGTGAGGTGAAAAGTCTTATTAGTAAGAATGACCTTCAGAGGCTCTTGAAATTTGACCAGGTAAGTAAGGTTTTGTTTTATAGGAACTTTCCTAGATAGCAGATGAAATTGTTAGGGTTATGAGGTAGACACATGGGAGGCATGTCTCACTCTAGGAAGAGATGGAAATGTCTTACTGTCTTGTTAAAACAGTGTAACTAGTAATGCATTTACTAAGTACAAGATTTATAGTGCTTTTATTAAGTGCTTGGATGGGAAGAGAGGAAATAACATTACTGATAAAAAGTATATATAATGTTTATTCAGTAAGTTTTTATCAAGAAGAGATTTCAGAGACTTGTATAAATGAATTGATGAATGTGTGGGGTTAATTGGAGAACACTTCCTGGAGGAAGTGGGCCTTCAGCTATGTTGATGTGGTTTGGCAGATGGAACAGGGAAAACTGTTCTATGATTATTTGGCAGGCTGAGCAACAGCTTAGAGGTAAAAAAGGGAGGCCCTATGAGGGGGATTGGGAAGCACAGAAGTAAAGTCTGTCTGAGATGAAGAGGATAGGTTACAAGCTAATGAGAACTTGTTGATAAGTTGGAGCAAGCTTATATATAGCTGTTAATGTTAAAACCTGTAGAAAAAACTTTGATTCTGTAATATTCATAAAATCTGATAGTCAGAAACCTAGTTTTCATATATTTGAGGCAATAAATTTGAAGAACCCGGCATGTGACTTGAGTTTTTACTTCAGTGTGTGGATACTAGGTGCTAAAAGAAAATGTTTTGCTTTGATTTGATCATCTTTAAATCAAATCCTTACAAGAGCCTTTTTGACCCTCAGACATAGTCAGAATTCAGGTATTCTACAGTAGAATTGTTTTTGACGGAGCCTTTTTGGTGGTGTCTACCTTCACATTGTGATTGGCTGGCTGATTTCTTTGCCTTTCTCTGTCCTGCCTCCAAAAGGGGTATAGCTGGAATAAATTCTGAGTATTATATAGTTTTCATAAAATACTTGAGTGGGGATAACTTTCAAAATCATTTGTAACTATTCCCTGAATTTGGTTCATGGAATTATCTGTTCACCATTTGTGTGCTTTTTTTGTTGTTTTTAAATGAAAATTGTGCTGGGTGATTCCTGCCCTGCTCTGAGGAATTTAGGATTATTCAGATTTCATTTTTCCATTTTATTCCTGGCCACTATAGCAGTAAAAAAAAATAGTGTTGTTCTATTAATGAATATCCTATCTAAGGGTATGTTTAGATGCCATAGTATTGCTGAGATTTAATTCATAATGCACAGAAATTTTATTTATGTACTGTCTCACAGTTGTAAAAGTTATGCACGGAGCTGGCGCTCTAACCATTAAGTACAGGCGCCCAGCTGTTATAAAGATTATGGAACTGAACACTTGGAAATGGGGACAGTGGTTAATCAATTTGATTGTGAGTTACATAAGGTTATGTTACCCTGCTTATGTGATGCTTCTTTCTATCTATAGCTAAATATTCAGCGCACACAGAAAAAAGCTTTTGTTGACTTCAATGAAGGAGAAATCAAGTTTATCCCCACTTACAAGTATGACTCTAAAACAGACCGGTGGGATTCCAGGTAAAATAATAAGACTAAGGCTTGATATTATTTCAGTCCTTTATATTGATAAGGGACGCAGACTTTTTTAGGTCATACCTAAAAGGAGATAGGAAAACCTAATGGCTCAGTACTATTATAGAAGAATTTTTCCTTCATGTATACTCAGTAGGTGAGCCTACTTTAGAAAAGTACTACTTATACATCGGGGTGATTGAAGTCTTATGAGCCTCCTTGTTTCTCTCACCTCAGCAAACTTGCTTAGACTTTTGCCTTCCTGATCTTGCCCCTATTTATTACCTGTTGCCCTATTCTGGCTCTTTTTTTCCCAAACTGCTTCTCACTATTTAACTCAGGATACCAGAAGCTGAAAGCAAAGACCCATGAAAGGTTCTTCTAGCATAGTAGCTCTCAATCCTGACAACACATTAGAATTTCTTGGGAAGCTTTTAAAAATATTAATACTGAGACCCCACACCTGCTACTGCTAGAGAACACAGAACCACTGTGTTAGTAGGCCCTAAGATACCCTAATCACCCCCAGGAAAGCACTCCTATCAGTACATTCTTGGTAACTATTTGTCCTCCACCTGATGCTTGTTTCTTATGGTTTCCTAGCTGACTGAGCATAGAAACTGGAAAGAGAAAGAATCCCGGGGCATATTTAGCTGCTTCAGACTCTGAGAGCACCGGGGTGGGGTGGGGGTGGTCTGTTTGTATTTCTGTCCCCTGAGGGAGCCAGTCAGCAAATGAAAAGTGACATGGATGGGGCATTGTGGCAGGCGCCTGTAATCCCAGCTGCTGGGAGGCTGAGGCAGGAGAATCGCCTGGGCCCAGGAGTTGGAGGTTGCTGTGAGCTGTGTGACGCCACGGCATTCTACCGAGGGCAATAAAGTGAGACTCTGTCTCTACAAAAAGATAAAATAAAATAAAATAATAAAAAAATTAAAGTGACACTGATGGCTCTTGTACATGTTACTTTGTTTCTTTCACTCACCTGACTTGAGAATCAACTGAAGAGCTACTGATAAGAAATATTAGTGTCACCTGGATCAAGTGTACAAGGTGTTGCTTATTTCAGTAGAATGATGAATAGGGTCTTGTCCCTACCCTTGGTATTCTATAAACTGTTATTTGCTCAGACTTGCATGCTTAGATGTTAATCTCTATAGAAAAAGCTAGACTGTTCTATAAAAGTCCAGGTTTAAAAGAGAAATCTCTACTGTTATTCCTCTCAAAGATTAAGTCCAATCTAGGAATAGAGGATTGAAGTTTGAACTTGATTAGTTATGTACCCATTGTAAAGTGTCATTGAAGTTAATAGCAAAAAGGAAGTGTTCAGAATATTATCCTGACCATCCAAGGATTTTTTTTTATTAAATCCTAGCTGTGTACATTAATGCAGTCATGGGGTATAGTGTGCTGGATTCATATACAATTTGAAATATTTTCATCAAACTGGTCAACACAGCCTTCATGTCATCTTCCCAGTTATTATGTTAAGACATTTATATTCTACATTTAGAAAGATTCAAATGTACGCTTGTAAGATGAACCATAGGCATGGTCCCACCAATCACCCTCCCTCCACCCAGCCTCCTCTCTCCCCTCTCTTCCCTCTCCTCCTTCCCCATATTCTTGGGCTGCAATTGGGCTACAATTATGAAACTAATTTATAGCTTTCATATGAAATCTATAAATTAGTTTCATAGTAGGGCCAAGTACATTGGCTACTCTTTCCTCCATTCTTGAGATACTTTGCTAAGAAGAATATTTTCCAGCTCCATCCATGTAAACATGAAGGAGGTAAAGTCTCCATCTTTCTTCAAGGCTGCATAATATTCCATGGTGTACATATACCACAATTTATTGATCCATTCGTGGGTCAGTGGGCACTTGGGCTTCTTCTATGACCTAGCAATTATTAATTGGGCTGCAGTAAACATTCTGGTACAAATATATTTGTTGTAGTGTGATTTTTGGTCTTCTGCATATATACCTAGTACAGGAATTATAGGATCAAATGGCAGGTCTATTTTAGTTCTCTAAGTGTTCTCCAGACATCTTTCCAAAAGGAACAAAAGTTCCAAAAGTTTGCATTCCCACCAGCAGTGTAGAAGTGTTTCCTTTTCTCCACATCCACGCCAGCATCTCTGGTTTTGGGATTTTGTGATATAGGCTAATCTTACTGGAGTTAGATGATATCTCAAAGTAGTTTTGATTTGCATTTCTCTGATGATTAAGGATGATGAGCATTTTTTCATATATCTGTAGGCCATATACTTGTCTTCTTCAGAGAAGTTTCTCTTCAAGTCCCTTGCCCACCCTGAAATGGGATCACTTATTCTTTTCTTGCTAATACGTTTGAGTTCTCTGTGGTTTCTGGTTATTAAACCTTTGTCGGAGACACAACCTACAAATATCTTCTCCCATTCTGAGGGCTGTCTGCTTGATTTACTTACTGTGTTCTTGGCTGTGCAGAAGCTTTTTAGTTTGATCAGGTCCCAGTAGTGTATTTTTGATGTTGCTTCAATTGCCCAGGGGTTCCTCATAAATTTCTCACCCAGGCCGATTTCTTCAAGAGTTTTCCCTACACTTTCTTCTAGTATTTTTATAGTTTCATGTCTCAAGTTTAAATCTTTAATCCAGTGAGAGTCTATCTTAGTTAATGGTGAAAGGTGTGAGTCCAGTTTCAGTCTTCTGCAGGTCACCAGCCAGTTTGCCCAGCACCATTTGTTAAATAGGGAATCTTTTCCCCACTCAATATTTTTAATTGGCTTGTCAAAGATCACATAATGGTAAGTAGCTGGGTTCATCTCTTGGTTCTCTATTCTGTTCCATACATCTACCTCTCTGTTTTTGTGTCAGTACCATGCTGTTTTGATCACTATTGATTTATACCATAGTCTGAGGTCTGGTAGCATGATTCCTCCTGCTTTGTTTTTATTTCTGAGTAATGTCTTGGTTATTTGAGTTTTTTTCTGATTCCATATAAAATGAAGTATTTTTTTTTTGATATCTTTGAAGTATGACAGTGGAGCTTTAGTAGGGATTGCATTAAAATTAAATATTGCTTTGGGTAGTATGGACATTTTGACAGTGTTGATTCTTCCCAGCCATGAGCATGGTATGTTTTTCCATTTGTTAACATTTTCAGCTATTTCTTTTCTTAGAGTCTCATAGTTGTCTTTATAGAGATCTTTCACATCCTTTGTTAGGTAAACTCCCAAATATTTCATCTTCTTTGGCACCACTGTGAATGGAATATAGTCCTTGACTGTTTTTTCAGCTTGACTGTTGTTGGTATATATAAAGGTGGCCAATTTATGAATGTTGATTTTGTAACCTGAGATGCTGCTGTATTCCTTGATCAATTCAAAGAGTTTTGTAGTAGAATCCTGGTGTTTTCCAGATATACAATCATATTGTCTGTGAAGAGTGAAAGTTTAATCTTTTCTGGCCCTATATGAATACCCTTGATCACCTTTTCTTCCCTAATTGTGATGGCTAAAACTTCCATTACATTGTTAAAGAGCAGTGGAGACAATGGGCAACCTTGCCTGGTTCCTGATCTGAGTGGAAATGATTTCAATTTAACTCCATTCAATACGATATTGACTGTGGGTTTGCTGTAGATGGCCTCTAT